AGAGTAGTTTAATTGGCACAGTGGAGGTTATTGATGTTTCTTCCTCCAGTTTTAAAACCAGGCTCATCTTCTTCCAGTCCAGCTTCCCTTAATATATATTCAGCATTTAAGTTGAATAAATAAGAGGAGAGTCTCACTCTTTTGCCAATCTGGAGCCAGTTTGTTTTGCCATGTTCTGGGTGTAGTGTGGCTTCCTGATCTGTATATAGGTTTTTCGTGAGGACAATGAGATGTTCTGGGATTCCCATTTTTCTAAGCACATTCTACAGCTTGACATGATCAACACAATCAAAAGCCTTTCTATAATCAATTAATATAACTATTATAATTATAGCAATAAATGTTTATAGAAAGTTATGTTATAGGAACAGCTATATCCAGTCAGTTGACCCATTTTGCTTACCTTCTCTTTTTCAGATGGAAAACAGCCAGAGAGAAAAAGTGGCTGAAAAAAATGCATTATTTCTTTTATAGAATTCGCTGCCAAGGCCTGGAAACTCCTCTAAAAACCTGGTTAGTTGTAGTGGCCAAGTCATTTTGTTGCTTGTTGGCCAGCAGAGAAGGACCTGGTGCTGCCATGTAGCCTTGCCAATACTGTCCTGGCACATAGGTTCATGGGACACCATGCATTTCCTGGAGAATATGGGATTTTGTAATCCCAAAATGTTAACTTTTAACCCAGTCATTGTGATTATGCATTATTAGAACCATCAGTAAGGATTTCTGACTGGGTTAGCTGCTGACCTGGTTAAATATATTATGGAAACTCAGTCAGCATGTCTTTGCCTTCTTTTGGGTGTGAATCCTCTGGGTCTTCAGAAGTGGTGCTATTTTTAGAGTGGTACAAATTGCTTTTAGAAATCTCAATTTGATTTGTAGATAGAGAAATTGGGTGGATGATTTGCTTGAATTTCTCCAGAAGAGAAATTCTCCAGCCATTTCTCAAGGGCAAAAGTCCCCCTTAACAGTGAGAGTAACATCATAACTGAAAAAGCCCCATGGGAAGAGTTCTCTCCTGAGATAATTTGTCTTGGGACTAAATGGAAGGGTGGGATACCTGGGAAACTGTACATAGGACATTCATAAACACATCCCTTGACCACTTCACAGGTAAATTTTTATGTCCATATCACACGCTAATCAGTCAGTTAAAGACCTAGCAGACGTGTTTGCAGAACATACTCAACTTGGTGTTACTCCTGTTTTGTTTTTTTGAAGTTCAGCATTGTGTGGGAACTCCACCCATTTGCTCACTATGATTGCGGAAACCCAGAAAAAGCATTAATGCAGTAACCAGGTTAAGCATGTTGTGTGAATATTGACAATAAATGAAAGAACTTCCCTCTTCAAACCTCTCTGATATTTCGTTTTTTGTTTTTCATTTGAAATAAGCCCTGTTCTTCAAGCTTGAAACCCTTAACACCATCCTTCATTCTATTTACCCTCTTTGTAACTCTTAAAAGTATAATTTCTTGCAATTTATCTTCACCTCAAAGCAGGGTTTCTCAACCTCACCAATTTTAAGATGTGTGGACTTCAACTCCCAGAATTCCCCAGCCAGCATCTTAAAGTTGCTTGAGGCTAAGAAACACAATTATTTTCCCTTGTAATCTAGTAAGCTTGGTCTGTCTGTGCCATTCAAAATCGCATTAGCCTTTTTGTAACTATCTCACTGTTGACTCATATTGATTTATCATTGTACTTATGCTGCGGTAATTGGCTGTACACCGTGAACCTACATTTCCACCGATCTAGCTTGGACTTAGGCCAAAATGAGTACCGTTCTTTTAATTGACAACCTCCTCTGCAGCATTTGAAAAGGCTTTGAAAAGCCATTTCTTATAAACGTTTTTTCAGTGTTGCATTTTATTGGTCAAGTTTCAGTTGATTTACCAATATTGAGAAGTGTTTTTAATACTGATTGAATTATATTTTTATATATTAGGGTTTTTCTTTTTGACTTGTGGAAATTAATAAGATTATCTTTTGCAGTTTTAAATTAATGACATGTATTTATATTTGGGTTGTGCACCCTTTTAGGCTGAAAGGCCACACTTGGGTTTTTAGTAAGTTGCCAGGTGGCACATTCCCAAAAGTGAACAGGCTAGGATTAAAAAAAAAAAAAAGATTGCAGCAAGAACAAAGGCAAAAAGTAAATTTGATTTGATTAAATTAAATTACAATTGAATAAATATTGCATGTTCCCATATTTATATTTTTCCTCTACTACTACATTAAAAAATTCAATTTCTGGAGCAATGGTTATTATTTATTTAGAAGATTTATATATTTCTGGAGGCTCTCGAGGTTGCATTCAGGATTTCAGGGTGGGTGGGTGGGTGTAACATCAGGGCGAATGTCATGCATCAATTCAAATGACTAAAACTTGAAATTATATACAATTATTTTTGCTCCTTTTCTTCCTACATCATGTACCCAAGATTTGCCAACCAAATGTTAGTATCTCTTCTGAGCAATTTTGCAGGTGTGGAACCAAGTCACGGCCATTAGCTGGAATTTATTTTTGACTATCAGATCAAACATCCCATGTATTGAGAGGGCTTGGGAAAAATCCCCCACAATCCACTGTGGCACTTCCCACTCTCTGAAATTTGAGGTGTGTCCTACTGAAAATCAATGCAAAAATCAATATATACATAACCTTCCATTCTTGGAAGGTCCTTACCACTTCCCGAGAATGGCTAGATACTTTCCGGCCTGTCAGAAAGAAAAACCAGTCATGGAATACCATCTTTTGATACGCAACTGTAAATGGAAATTGGATAGTCGGTCCTGATTTGTGTACAAGTTTGTACACAAATGTGCTGTCCTAAAATTGGGGTGGAGGGAATAACAAATTAAATGAAAGGTAGTGAACTGGCATGGCCAATGGACCAGAAAATTATTATCTACAGCAAAGGGACCAATAGTTGATTTATTGGATTAAATTCGAGAGATAGGTAAGCAAAAAGGTCTCACAAATTGTTCTAGAAATAATGTAATCATTCAGGCCAACTGACTGGATTGGACTGTATTTAGGTAAGGCACCTAGTGCCACCTAGCGTTAAATATCAGCACCAACCTCACACCCTCCCTATTTTGGATTTTAACTCCCGTCCAACCCTTCCGTCATAGGCAGTATCAAGGAATCTTGAGTTGTACCTGCAACATTTGGAGGACATCAGCTCCTCTCTCAGAAGCATACTTTGGAACAGAGTCAGTGCGAGGAATGTTTGTGTCCTTCGCAGGACTTCGATATTAAATATTAAATTGAAGAATGCAGATGGGAATGGAAGGTCCACCCCAACATTGCCAGGTCTTCAATTCGGTAACCAATTAATGAGGCGAGATGGTTTTTTGTCCAGCTTGGTTTAGATCAGCAGAGAAACAATTACGCTTCAGATCAGTTGACATTTCCCAGTAGTCTTCAAAAGCAGCCCCACTTACCAAACCTTGCAGGGACCCTGCTTGGTTATTACTGGTGCATGGCTGTAGGTTGCCAAATTCTTCATCAAGAGGAGCTTCAAAGTAGCATACCAGCCTTGGTTAGGGAAACACGCTTTGTGCATCACACATGGCACTTGGTGCAGATCAAATGTTGGAGGCTCCAGGGAAAGAAACCAGTGGGGCCAGGCGTCTACTAAGGCCTTTAATTCTAAAAAAAATATTACCTGCAACTTCCTCCAACTGTTGCCAATTTCTCTGCCACTCACCAACTTAATCCTTCCTGTCAAGGGCACTAAAGAGTGGCAATGAAGTGAAAAGCAGCTGGATGCCACTGCTGCAATAATATGGAGGTGCACAATGCCACCTTAAATTCTAGACTGTAATATATGCTGTTAACCCAGATCATTGGTTTAGTATGTGTTTTGATATGGATCCTTAAGTAAGCCATGGTTAAACAGAACTCCTATTACTAGGCACTATAATAATACAGTACATTAATACAATGATTCATGGTTTAGTGTAATATGTGAACCCAGCCAGTGTCAGATTAGAGCCAGAGAGATGCAGGATCAGTCAAAACCCAGTCAGCTTTCAAGCTCATCAGAGAACCCCGGATCACTCACTCAATGGTTTAATCGACATTACAGTTTAGTCGTGTTCACACATCCTTAACTTGGGTAGTTTTAACTTTGGTTAGATTGTTCGAGTCTTATCTGATGTGTGAAGCCCTTGGTGGGCTTATAGCTTCAAATGTTGCACAATCTCGGAAACACTAGATTAACCCAGTATGTTGTGTATCTTCAGCTTCACTCTATCCCCGGATTGTTGTGAAGATAAAGAGAGAGAAAAGGCAACTGAGCAGCAACACATGAGGCTTGGTAGCAAGTCGTCTTTTGTGTGATGGAGAAAACACAGCATTAATGTACAGCAACCATATGTCATGCATTATAAAGGACAGCCCTTTATTTCAGAAAGCTGTCCTTTAGATTTATTTTTCAAAAACTCACTTTTGTCCTTTATTTTGGGCATTTAACTTTGACCGTACCAGCGGTAGCACTTAATGCACGCTCTTTCACATTCATGTGAAAAATATGGAAACTGAATTGTCTTTTTAAAAATAAATTTATATATGTTGTTTGATTGTAGATATTTTTATTAGAATATGTGTTTTTGTAACGTTTTTCTTGATTTTGCTCTTGAATTTTCCTTTGTAAAGCAAAGTAAACATAAGCAATCACATTTTTTTAACCTTATGAACCTTTTTCAGATTTGCCCTTTTTTTCAGGTTTGTCCTTTATTGTTTCCAAGAAAATATAGTCACCGTATATTAATGGGAAGTTGAAAGATATTAGAAATGGGAGTACAAGAGGAAAACCTTTAAGACTACTTATTAATAAGCAGTGGTGCTGTTTGGAATTTTAATCTCTTCACTCTGTATTTAACTGTAGTAAAAACATTGGGATTATAACTAATGCTAGGTCAGAATCTTTTTTAAAACCTAAAAGCATTTCAGAAATTTGAGTCATCCTTTGATTCATCAGTTCTGTGCCATTATTCACCACGGAGAAGGACAAGAGGCAACTTCTCTTCTGCCACAACTTTTATTGGTTTAGTATGAGCTCATCACACTATAGAAAGCCAGTCTTGGGGCCTGTAATACATGAATACATAATCTGTAGAAGTAGTTACACTTTGACTCCCATCTGTAAAGCTTTGTACAGAGGAAACAAAACAAAACCAAAAAAAAAAAGCCAATAGTAAAATAGACATTCGCTGTCAAATCAATTTTCTTCATCTAACAAAATTTGATAGCCAAAAAAGTGTCTAAAACTACAAAATTAGGATACATACCACATGGGTAAAAGGTTATCCATTTTTTATTACGTCTAGATTTGACTTGATTCTCTTCCTATACAGGAGCCTGATAAATTGGGCTGGCTTGATTAGTGGATTAATACATCTCTTCAAGAATAAATGCTGAATTGCTGGACTGCTCTCCATTGACAGTTGCACTGTAGCTGGGTTTTGACTTCCTGTGAAATGGCTATCCGTATATTTACTTGAAAGCCAACAAGGGGTCAGGCAGCATCATGGTCTTGCCCATAGAATTGCCAACCATAGCAAAATGCTGTATCCCCAGATTTGGTACCCTCCAGATGTACGGGACTGTAACAGAATTCTCAGCATGTTATAATGGGAATTAAAAAACACTGAGTCTGGAAGGCATCAAGTTTGGGGAGACTCACCTAATGTGCACAGGATATAGAAGTGTACATCTGCACTTTCATTTCAAAAGGAGACATGAACTTTTCAACCTTGCTGCCAAAGTTTTACAAAGTTGTTGTTTCCTACAGGGAAAAAAAAAGTCAACCTTCTGGATTTTTGGCAGTAGCTCTCAGCCATCACACCAATGCTACAAGTTCAGGCTTTCATTAAGTGTCCACTAATCCTTCTGCTACTCAGAGTCAGAAGGGCCTGGAAAATAAACTACAGGGATGTTCATGTTTTTATTAACATTTTCTTGTTGTTGAATTTTACTTTCCTTTTGCCTCCTGATGAAAAGGGGAGGCATGGACTGACCTCTTGCTCATAATATAGCAAAATCACTTTGGCTTGTAATCCTATGCAGTGGGGGGATAAACTACTATCAGTTTTTAATGACCATAGTGGACAAATTTTGCCACTGCCCCTAGGAAGAGAAACTAAAGTGAATGGGCAGCTGGAAAGGGCTCAGATAAATAGTCCCAGCAATTTACCAGAACATGATAAATAAAGAAGTTAATTGAGCACCTTCTTTCAACAGACAGCATTTGCACAGAAAAGTAAACTGGAATTCTGATGAATCCTGGCTAATAGTGAATGGTTGGTATGCTAAGGTACAAACTCCCACTTCTTTTCTCCTGCTAGCCCAAGCAAACTAACATTGTAATTGGAATATGGATTCTTAGTTAATTGCTCCTCATGCAGCCAGTGTACATAAACCAAAACCAATCTCTTGTTTAAATGTAGAATAAACCAGGATTCCATACTCAGACATCAAGGTAAGTTTTTCTATTTCTGGATGGTTAAGCTGTTCACATGTATAGAATTAGCCAAGCAGGAGCAAATTTGCATTAACAGGCAGTTCATTTATATTTCCAAAATCTTGGCTTCTTACTGGCCATCTCTGGAATTCAATTCCCAAAAGATAAGTTTGCTTAAAAGCATGATAAAACAGTATCAGTGAAAAGAAGGGGATGGTAAAGATTTGTAGAAGTGCAGCTTTTTTGGTTCAGCCAAAAAATGGCTGAAATTTATCAAAGCAAAAAAAGAACTGTGTTGAGAATTGACACACTAGAAACATCTCCTCAGAGATCCTCCAAAATATCAACTTATTTTTCTGTGGTCTTACTTGTCAGCTTGCTCCAATTCCTGTCCATCAATACAGAGTGCAGAAGAAGGAAAACTAGATCAGAAAACGCCACCATCATTATTTGCTGAAGTACGGCATTGCCCATTTTTGCAGGAAAAAAAGATGAAGTGACAACATTTCAGGTTATACAAATCAACACAGGAATACAGAGAAATGGCAAAGAGCTGAAGAAAAATAATGGTAAGTGAAGACAATGGGTAGCTTATTCTCTCTAATACTGTAAATCAACTTTCCTCATCCTGATGATTCCCATGCACGTTGGGACTCCAATTTCCAGGCTTCTCAGCTAGCGTAGCCAAGGGCTAGAAATTTCTATGCTGGCTAGATATTCCTGGAGGTCCCAATAAAACCAGAGGATGTCAGTTTGTGAAAGTTTACTGTACATACTGGCAAATCTCTCACCATGAAAGTAGAGTCCAAGGCCTTTTGAAGGACCATAAAATACATGAACCTGGCATGGCACTTCCTCCTAAGTAGCAGCTCTCATGAACCAAGATGAGAATCAGTTGGCCACAATCAAAAGAAAAAGCAGCAAAGGCCACATTCTGGGCCTTAGGGAGCCTGATCAGAATCCCATAGAGATAGCTTCTCAGTTGGAACCCTACATTCTCCATCACCAGACCTCTACCACAGATGATATCATGGAGAAGACACAGAATGTGAGGCTCCAAGATAGGATCCTGGCTCTAAATTCAACACGCTCCAGGAAAGGAGCATAGCCTAAGAGGCATAAGGAAGTAGTGGGGTAGTCTGGGCTGAGTAATAAAGAAAGGGCCCAACTAGATTCCATATCTCATTGGAGCAGGCAGCGCAGTTGCTCCAAGGTTCAGATGTTTGGACCTTCTGTGCCCTGGGATTTTACACTTGAGAGTACAGAACTGGGGACACGTGGTTAGAATTAGAGAAAGAAAGGAAATGTAGGCTTATCATTATAAACTCTTTGTTTCTGAATTCCAGCACCCTCATTCAGAAAATAGATGTCTCAGTAACATCGTATTTGAAACTACACCAACAGACTAGCACCACTTCAACCTGTAGGATACATCTTTCTTTACACCAGTCAGACAGCAGTCTGGACTATTACTCACTTTGCTCTCTCATTTGGAATCTCTGAGTTTGATGAGAATTCCAGTAATATGATCTTGCTTTGAATGATTACTAGAATTGACAACAATGAGGATTTTTGCTCCTCTGAAATCCTCAATCCAGTAATGGTGGTGGGATTGAGAAAGCCACAAGGTAATATTAGGAGAATGGAGGGAGTGAATGTTTACACTGGGGTAAAAGTAGATCTATCTTGGAGGCTTCTTCCTCTGGACCACTTCTTAGGACCTCTCTACTTAGCACCAATTTCTAGACAGCTTCTTCTAACAAATCGTGTTTACAAAAGAAGGCATTTTGTAATACAACACTCACAGACACATTCATTCTCCCTCTCAAATCTGCGTACCACTAGCAGAAAAAAGGAGAAAAACCATACAGACCCACAGGAACACACTCTTGCTCCAATCATTCATATTAGAACACATGGACATTTTCTCATCTGGAGATTCATCTTTGTCTCAAGTTTATACATGCAGAAAAATCAAGGGAGAACATACTATCTGGAGACTACTGCCACAGGCTGCAAAGAGTTTGTGCTTCAAAGGTTAAGTTGAACTCTTCTAGCCTCCACCCCAAACAAGTTACTTTTTTTCTCACAAGGAGATTTTTATTTCTAGTGGTAGAACAGATAGACCAATCTGTGCAAAACAGAACCACAGATGCAGGCAATCTATTTTCCACATATTTTGGATTTACAGTTCTCAGTCTTTTGCAGTTCTCAGTCATATTGATTGGGACTGATGGAAGCTGAAATCCAAAACACCTGAAAGACATCAGATTGCCTATATTTACATTTTATTTGGGTGAAAAAGGTTTACCTTCCAGTTCTGCTGCATGTATAAACTGGGCCTAAGTTATTAAATAAAAGAAGCCTTAGGCTACTGGGAAAGTGTTTCAGAATTTCAAGAGTAAAATTGTCAATGGTCAAAGAGAGAGAAAAAGGGGGGGGGAGAGAGAGAAAACCCAGCCCCCCAAACTCAGAAGATCCCAACTGCCTCCAGAGCTTTGCTGATTAGACCTCTAGATCAATCTCGATTTTTGTTTCAAGGCCTAGCCATCAGTGGCTTAAAGAAGATGCATCTCTGAACAGATGAGAGATGTAACTGTACGGGCACCAGCAGAAGTCCACCATTGGTTCAATAACTCTAAATCACCAATGACTTGATAATTACTGAAGTTAAAATAAGTTAGAGAAGGTCCACCTCAAAATGCGTACCCCATGTTATATCATTAGGTTTAAGCAAAGTCTCCACATTTCTGACCTCAAGAGTTTTTTATGTAGAGGACAGAGATTCTTTTCAAATAGACATCGGGTTGTTCCCTATGGTCAATAGTGCTTGATCTTAGCTCTTTTGCAGACCTGTAATGGGTCCATCCAGTGGATCTGGAGGAGAAATCTGAATGCTATGTGCAAATTATTAGCTACTTAAGCAAGTATTCAGGGGGGTCACTTAGAAAAATCTCCAATGTCTTTCAAAAGCCACTGAAATGAGGTATCTCACAGGCGCAGCAGGAAGTACCTCCCCGAAACCTGACATGATACACCATGCCAAGAAAAATGATCGCCAAAGGCTGCCGGTAGCAAAGGAGAAATTCAGCCACAGGCACAACTGCTGTACCGCTTCTTTGGGGGAACTGGACCCATCTTAGAATTAAACAAATCACCAGGGAGGAACCCTCCTTCTTTACATCCACTTTGTTCATAGAGTGGAAATACTTTTGGTGGTGCTTGGGAGAGGCATCTCCAAGACTCCCACTTTTCAACAACAGATGCAATGATTTCATATTCTTTTCCACTTCTCCTTGCTTCTCTTCCATCAGTGTTTCTCCTGTAACAAAAGAGACCAGATTAGGAATCTGAAAACTGCTCTCATGATTAAAAATTACTAACCTACAGAACTATTTTTCCTCTGCAGACTATTCCCCCCCCCATAATGCAATTTGGCTATGTCCACATTTATGACATCTTTTATCCAAATGGCTATAATTTATTTATTTATTTATTTATTTATTTAATTTATTTATTAATTTATATGCTGCCCATCTCCCCCAGCTTGAACAGTATAAAAAA